AATTATGATTATTATGAAAATTGAATATACCATCCCTGGTAAAACTAGCTTACTAGAGTTTGCTCTGTTTATAAAATTCATTATATCTTATAAACGAAGACAGATAGGACATGTATTCATATGACTTCTTTTCATTGTTTTTAGGCGTACAATCATTAGCTCCCAAAGTGGGTCCCACATGTCATGAAACACCCTGTATATATATATGGTATAAGTGTGTCACGTTTCGAGTTGTACTCGCGATTCGAAGAGTCCTCGAATTTTTCACGCGCTGCAATATGAAAAAAGAGAGAGAGAGAGAAAGGAAAGAGACGGAAACCACGCCTCTCGGACAAAAACGATCGTGTCTCGTTTTTTCATTTTTCAAACAGAACAGTACGTTAATTACAAGTATGTGTCTCCAAGGAGAAACGACTGTTTGCTCGCGTGACAAATTTCAGCGACGAAATCCACGAGAAGAAGCTGTTCCTCGTTCCAATTAGAGGAGAAACGAGTCAGAAACATGGATACGTTTTGTCGTTTACTCCATAGGAATATTAATGAACCGACAATGGTAACCATGCGTGCAACTCATTTCTCTTTCGTGAAACGAGTCGAGGGCAAAAGGATGAAATTCTTTCCAATAATCTTTAAACGGAATTAATGACTGCATTCCGATCGTTTTCTCAATCGCACGAGCAACGATTAAATTTCTACCTTGATCGTTAGTTGCGATGAAATATCGGATGCCTTTTAAATATTAAATTAATTGATAATTTCAGCAGAGATTAAATTCGTGCATCGATTATGTTAATTCAGCGATTTTCAATTTTCATTGATAAACTTTAACGATTAAAATTCACTTTGCAGTGAAATTAACGTTTTCGTGGCTGGGAGAGTCTTGCAACGATTGCGTAAAGAAAAATGGAGAGAGCCTTCGTAAGTACAGTGAAATAATATCAACGAAGATTTTTATTATTGCTATTTTGATGGAGCCCGTAACAAGTTGAACCATGCCGTTCTTTAATTCTCGACAGTACGAAGAAATATGATGAAACATTTTAATTTCAAAGTATACTTTCAATTTAAATGAAATGATAAATTTATAATTATAATTTAATATAATATAATATATATACAATATAATTATAATTTCGAAAATTCGATGTTAATAACTAACGATTATGATGACTGACGATCAACACTGTTAATCGATTAAATCAACGATCAATTTAATTATGATTTGATAATTGACGATTATTTTGTTTATCGATTAGATAAATTCAATTCGCCGGTTTTTTCGATTGTCAATTTCATTAATCGCAAACGTTGGTCTAATATGAAACTAAACATTTCAATCGATTAATGCCCAAAACTCTGGATGATACTAAATGTATACTGCTCCTCTTAGATCACATTACTTTGCAAAAAAAAAAAAAAAAAAAAAATCACAAAGTAAAACACAAATAATATCGCGTACTCATTTTTCAAACAGACCCAGTTCTTGCACGCAAGCGTATAATAAAAAAAAGAAAAGTGATAAATATAAAAAGTTCAGACAGATTCGGAGAAAAATAAATAGCGAGAGACCAATGATGGGACCAGTGGCGAAACTTGTGAGTGAAAAAAAATCGCCGGTAACGAACGATTGAGCTGCGTTGGAATGCAGCTGTCCAACGCAGATCAATCTCATTTTAACCGCGTTGCTGTTCGAAAAAGGAAGCACACCCTCCGACCAGTTCATTTGCATAAAAGATTAAGCACAACCGTGAGGTATCGCTCTTGTTTTCTTGTTGTATCGCTGTTCCTTCTACGGCGTATCGTATTGTTAACTGGACTGTTTCTAACGGTAGTTGAAGATCACTCGTGACAATATACTGCAGCGTCAGTGACTCCTTATCGGTAAAGAAGAACTCGACTACCAACGAACCGAAATCAAATCGATGTACATATATGTTTTAACACTAGAACGGTCCCGGCCTTCTTACGATACGTTTCGAAATATTCTGAACGAATAAATCATTGTAATTTAAGTAAAGAAATAGATTTTTATATTAATAAATAGATGTCACACACATCTGCTCTGCCTGTGAGTCCACTGTAATTTAGGTGACTTAGGTAATTAAAATAAAGTGTAACTTAGGTGACTTAGGTAATTAGGTAACTTAGGTAATTAAAATAAAGTGTAACTTAGGTAATTAAAATAAAATGTAACTTAGGTAATTAAAATAAAGTGTAACTTAAGTAATTAAAATAAAATGTAACTTAGGTAATTAAAATAAAGTGTAACTTAGGTAATTAAAATAAAATGTAACTTAGGTAATTAAAATAAAGTGTAACTTAAGTAATTAAAATAAAATGTAACTTAGGTAATTAAAATAAAGTGTAACTTAGGTAATTAAAATAAAATGTAACTTAGGTAATTAAAATAAAGTGTAACTTAGGTAATTAAAATAAATAGATGTACATATATGATATGCGTAAATATACAGATTTACAAATAAATTTGTTACCAAACAGATTTGTAAATAAATATGTTTCTGTCTACAAACGGACGTGAATAGTAATTTTGACAAAAGTATGAACATTTTTTAGGCAATTGTAAGAAAAAGAAAACCTAGAGATCCCGCCATATTGACGCGTTTGATTGTCCTAGCTTAATTTGCAGTTTAATTTTATATTCGTATATTTAACTAATTTTATTTAATATTTATTTAATTGATTTTTATATTCGTAGAATATAATTTCATGTTCGTATATTTGAAGGCTATTGCATTAAAATCTTCTTCACGCTTATTAACAAAAAACTTTAATTAGCTTTATCTAGATATTGATAAAGTAGATAGTTACTATAAACTAGGTACAACTTGATTGATTCAAAAATTCAATTTTGGAGGGACGTTTCAAGAAAATTTATTGGCAGACGATACGAGCTAAGTGAGAACAACTAAATTGCAATTTAATCAGGTGATTAAAATAATTGTAATATTGCGATGCGATTGTTCTCGTTACATTGACGATATAAAAGTAAAAATAACGCAACAAAAAAACGGAGAAAAGGTAGAAACGATATTTCCTGATGGGAATGATTTTTCTTCCTACGCCCAAGTACTTTTACACGACCAGGAGAACGCCTGGTAAAGTCATAAATAATTTTCGTTCCCCGGTATTCGTACCTTTCCGACTGAAACTTTAAAGCGCGATTCACTACACGTGTTTCTGAACGCGTTTGCGAATTAGATTTATAATACCGAGCCGGCATTAAAGTTTTTTAATCCTACGAATCCCGATTTATCGTCGGAACAACATCGAGATACATTTGCAACAAAAGGAATACTTAAAAAAAAAAAAAAAAAGGAAAGAATTACAACAATAGCAGTGAAAAATCGTTCTGCGTGTTGAACGAAGCGTTTAATCGATATTTCAAAAATCGTTCATTCGTGGATAGGGAAAATATCACAGTTCTCGAAACGAAAGAAATTTCTCGCGTCAAACACTCCATTCAATTTAAAAAGATTTCTTTACTTTCTCCTATTGTAGCACGTTAATTAAATTCCTAGTAAAAGTTCCTCCGCCAAGGAACAAAGGAACATTTGCTAAAAAATGTTAAATATTCGTTCAAAATATTATACTCAATATGAGTATACTTTATGTATCTATACTCTCCGCTCTGTCACAACTTTGTCGAAGAAAATCGTATAACGATCCACTTGATCTCATTTCAAAGCATAGAACCTCTACTCGGGATAGTGCTGAGTTCGTCTTTTTTTTTTTTTTTTCAGAGATGATTTTTACATCGTGTAACGATGTGAGAAAATGAGGATACTTCTTTTTCGAAAAATCATAAAAATTCCCCTACATCTCTGAAAACATTGAAAAAATTTTTCATAACTGGATCCACCACCTCTTTTGCCGTACGATTCTTTTCACTATTTCATCTTTGTTATTTACTTTTACTTTGAATATCAGACAAAAATCCAAGAAATCCCAACACTTCGTCATTTGATCCTAACGTTCAACATCCAATAAAATAGTGGAGAAAAAGAGAAAAAAAAATCGTGAAGCAAGTTTCAAGAGATCGTTGTAAAGAGGAAACGTCAATCTTCGAAATGATGATGCATCTCGCCACGAGAAAAATAGAGTTTTATTATTTTTACCTATTAGTTTGAACTTCTTATCGAGGAAAGAAGTATCCTCGTTCCTGTCCCATTTATCACACAATGTAAAATCGTCTTAAAAAAAAAAAAAAAAAACGACGACTACGAAGCAGAAGCACTAAGAATCAAAATAAAACAACGTCGCAACAATTCAAAAAATTGCCAACGATTTTTCATCGTTATCGATTCGGTGTTACGGCTGTTCCATAGAATTGCTCGGGACGCAAAAAAATTCGAAAAATCCAAAATATCGCGCTTCGTATTCAAGCCGCGAGGCCTCATCCCCGAATATTATTCGACGGGAGATACACGGGGTCCGATGGAATGGCAGAAGAGGAGAGGAAGGAGCGCGTGGTTCGATTCTTAACAAGTTGAAGTTCAGAAAGAAAAATTCTCCGGCCATCGGCGACTGTACGGATAGAATGGTTTGATGAAGAAAACGAAACGAAATGAAGCTGGCCCGAGGAGAGGAGTCTGAAAAATGCCGAGAGATCGAGAAAGTACGCGACACACCGGGGGGAAGTACGCGAGTCCGGATCGAAAGCTTCGCCTCGTACCTTGACGTGCGAGCGGAATGGAAGCGGCGGCTTCAGTTGCTCGCGAACCTCCACCGTGGAAGCTTCTCCCCGCGCGTGTTCGTCCCCGCTTTCGATCGTCGTTTCTCGTTGGCAACGAGAGATCGCGGAACGCGCCAACGCTACCTAGAATTCAAACCGAGCTCGACTCGTTAACGTGATCGTGATCGTGATCGTGATCGTGATCGTGATCGTGATCGATTCGATTCGTCGAAAATTTCGCGACGAACAAACGCCCATCAAGGGGGATCTTGATGAGTGAGGCAGAGTGAAGGAACGTTGTATCGAACGCGGAGGAGAATGTGCACGATTCCGTTCGCGCCGTTTTATCTGTGCATCGAGGAATTCGGCGAGTAAAAGCGACAACGACGACGAACAGGTGGATAAATCATGCGGAGGTGTTTGCTCCTGGTTCTTTGTGCCGCAGGTAATCAACCACGCCGCGAATCAATCGAAACGATTTTAATTCCAGGCCTGGCGAGATATATGTACATCGAGTGAAAGGAGGTTGCATGGAAAAAGAAAGAAAGAAGGAACGGACAAACCCTTTTTTTTCCACGTTCTCCGTTGTCGTTTGACATTTAGCTTCGATTTTGTTGGCCAGGAAATATAAATTCGTCGCTCTCATGAGTGAAAACCGTGAAATTTTGTTGAAACGCGCGCGCACGCGGCGGGTCTCTATTTTCCAAATAAATTTCACGGGGCGTATTTACGAGGTGTCACGGTGAAAGCTCTCTGAAACCGAATCCTTTGAGAAGAGCTTTGAAAAACACACTGCAAAAAGAGAGAAAGAGAGAGAGAGAGAGTCAATTATCAAAGTGCAAGGTAAAACAAAATACGCAGATTCAAATACGAAAAGTTCCTCTCGTGTTTGCAGAGTAATAGTATAAACATGAAAGGGAGTGCCGGGTAAAACGAACTTGACAATTATACGTGCGTGTCGACACTTGCTCCAAAAACGACTGTTTCACAAAAATACACTTTTAACGAGTAGAATAGAATTCCCTGCGGAAATTCTCCAATGCGCGAAATTAAAAATTCTTAGAGAAAACAATCGAAGGGGAAGGGGGAAGTTGGTGCTTGCAAAGAAAAATTTCTGAATATAAAAGTACCGTGAGCGACTGCGTTCGCGATTGTGAGAGAAGCTGGTCGTTCTGGAACTGAAATAATTCGCCTTCACCCTAGAGAATTTTGTTGACACGCACGAATAGAAACCGCTCTTCTGTAACAAATGTGTGCCGGTTCCATTCTATTTTCCTTCCACCACTGGAAGATTAAAAATTTATAACGCATGACGTTTCCCTTTCTCTCTCTCTCTCTCTCTCTCTCTCTCGCAATACAGTTCCCTCCCTCCGTCATTTCCTCCCTTCGCGAGCTCGCGCGAGAGAAAAAAAGAAAAAAAAGAAGAAAACGATCCACGAGAACGTGGTCGACCGGTTGGAAATTTCTGCAGTAAAATCGTTATGATAAAACGATTTGCAAGCTTCGGCTGGCGCGGATTATTAAACGTGAAACTCGTAACTGCGAAGAAGATAATAATTGCCAACGCCGAAAAATAATAATGATAATTTTTTTCAAGCGAAACTAAGCGTCACGATAACGCAACAGGGGAGATTTCTATCTTCTTTATTGCCCAGCCGGACAAGCTCGAGATAACAACCTGATCGTGAAAAAATTTAACAACACCCGCGACGGAGTGGAGAAAACTTGCATACACCCGCGAATGGATGTTTCCAATTTCATTCAGTTTCCAATCGTTGCAATTCAATGATTGTAACTTTTATCAGTTGCATCTGATCGCGATTGAATAAATTATTCGTTACGCAACGTGACGTACGGCTAATAAAAAGTTAAGGCCACATATACTGTTGAATACCTAGAAGTAAGCCCGAAGTGAATAGATCAGCCGTCTATTTTTGTTAGAGGGTACGCGAATCTTTAGCGAGAAGACCGCGTACCAACGTCTATTAAATCGCATCTGAAACGCCTCGTAAACCTAGAATAACCATATGAAAATCCTCGCTGCCAAAATTGCGGGTTTAGTGGATCACGTAATTATCGTCACGTGCGTTTCGTTCCACCTGGTTATCGTTTAGATTTGAATTGATCGCTGGACAGGTTAAATTCACGGACACTCGGTACATCGGGAAACGAAACTAATAGATCAACAACAGCGACAAAACTGAGTGTAACTTTTCATCATTGGTAACGCGAATATTTTCTAGAATTGAAAATTCTACCGCTTAACCTCTGGTTGACGGACCATAACGAGTGACCAAGTCGTATACAATAATTCGTCTTCCTTTTGAATTCATTGGTATATCACTGGATAGAAATTACTAAGAAGTAATAAATTTATTATTTGTTTCGCCTGGTTTCGTTATATTTCAATATATACTTAAAACTGAGAAAATATTACAATTTTCGACGTCATTCAATCGTAAGCAATCATGCATAAATTATCAAACTACGAGTAACGACTTTAAACGTAATGAACACAGTCTTAAAAGAAATTTCGAATTATCAGTCTGGCATTTCAGTTATAGTATATTGCTTACAATGTCATGCTAAACTTTTTAAAGTACATTTTTCGATCATAGTCCTTGATCATAGTCCTTATTACTCTAGCAATATTATCCCACGAAAGAAAAATTGCGCTCACATTATGTACACATGTATAAATCCTAACATGGTTGATAGACGAGATTATTAAACGGTGCCATAATTATACCGATTAAACGAAATGCCTATTGCTTTGAAGAGACCAAAGAGATACGTACGAGACACTTGTTGATCGAGCCCGTGGTGAAACAAACCGCCCACTACGGTCAAAATACATACGAGCAATATGAAACAATTACGCAGAGATTGCGCTACATGGAAACGCGTGCGAAGTTAGCCTAGCTGGCCAACTATAACAGCGCTCGTCGAACACGTCCGATGCTGAACAAAAGTAAAGATCGTCGATACACGCGTGTAAAATTTGCGAGTAACACGATTCTTCCGTAGCTGGACGTGCCAATTTCGAACTAGATGAAATTGAATATTAATCATCAAGTACAACGTATACACGTGATGCAACGTAAAGTGGTTATCAAAGCTCAAACATGTGCGCGCGGTTACGCGAGTCGAGTCGACTCGAGAGAGGATTTCTAGAAACACGACACAGTGTCAACTGATTCATCGATCGTTTAAGTATAAGCCGATTTCGAAAGTCAACCGCCAGTTTGGATTACATATATATATATACGGAAATTTGCATCGCGTGGCTCCGCCGATACGCGAATATCGACAATAGATAAAGCCACCGACAAGCACCGCACACCGGTCGCATAATTCCTCGATAATGCTCGTTCAGATTACGTTGGCTTTAGTGAATTTTTCAAGGTCCCAAGGCAAGAAATAGGTTTCGTTACCATAATTCGTTTCGCAAACGAGAAAGGAATTACAAAGGAAGCACAAAATTTGATCTTGCGATGATTGTCTCTTCTTTTTTTTTTTTTTTTTATCGTTATCGTGAAACAAGTTCACCTTTATGGTACACGTTACGCCATTTGCTTGCGTAACCGAGATTTTGATAGCCACTCTTATCAGATATTTGTAATTGTTGGACTAGAAATGGCGAATTGAATATCGTTTGAATCGAATCACGAGAAAAATCTATTTAGCACCATCGTTGAGATTTTGATCCAGTATTGCGACAATAGCTAAGAAAGTTATTTAACTGCCAGAGAAATAATGTCCAAAAATCGTAAACGTGAGATTAGGAACGAACGGGGCCGTTTGTTTCGATCATATCGCAATAACTACTCTTATTAGATACTTATAATTGTTAGGTTAGAAATGGCGAGTTCAATCTCATTGGTATCGAATCACGAGCAACAGATTCTTCTCTCTCTTCGAAATATATCTCTCAGAGGAAATTCTATTGTAGAAAAAAATTTGTCTCAACACGAGTCATCAAAAATTTGTCTTTATCCAACATCGCGAAAATCGGTAGGAAAATTGTCCAATTGATGTCCGAAAATCATTGATTGGAAACAAATGGGTCATCGATTATATCATCATCATTTGTCACAACAAGGCTCGAACTCAAAAGGGCAATTTGTTTGCAATGTCCGCTGAAAGATGGATTTACATTGAATGAGTTCTCCGGCCGTGCAGAAATATCGGCGAGGCTACGTCCGACATTCGCAATAGCGAGTGAATACGCGAGAAGATAAAGCCGCAACGTTCCCGCGGCCGTGTGTCGTTTATGGTTTTCCAGCGGTAGAGAAACATAAGCAAACAAAACGCGTTCAACAAACGAAACGATGCTCGACGAATGAAAATTTTTACACGAACGATCTGCTTTCCCCGCAGGACAATAACTTGCAACTGAATTTATTGTCTCTGCGAAATTAAACGTCGCAAAAGTTTGCAGCAAGTAACATGAATGAGGTGAACGTGAACGAGCGTGCCGTGCAATGGACTCTAAAGATAGAACGCATAAAATGACGATGTGCTAATATAAATGTGACACCTGTAAAGGTGATCTCGCTTTGAAGTCACTTCGAAAGCGACGGTATAACCTGACGTTGCGATTTAAAGAAAACGTTGTATCTACGTCTTGTCCATATTCGCGTCGTTGTCGTTAATTTGATTGGCCGTTTATTATTATTATTAAAGAAAAAAGAAAAAAAGAAAAATGAAACCACACGAGAAATGAAGAAAGATGAGAGATCTCTTTCATCTGAGAAAGATTGGATACCAGAATAAAATTCCGTGAATTTTGTAAAAATTATATAGTTAAAGTTTTATAATAAAATACTGTGCAATCAATTGAATTAAGAAGAAAAAAAAAAGAAAAAAACGGAAGAGAAAATGTTTCATCGACGAATGTGTACGTCTAAGTACGTTACAGTGGTGAAACTGAAAGGCTACAATTCTCTCGAAAAGAGTAAAATCATTCGCAGAGTAATTTTTCCAGAGCTGTACGACGAGATCGTGAAAGAAATTCTGTTCGCGATTTTTCGAGAAACAGTAACGAATGGCTGCGGGGAAGCATGCTGCTGTTGCATGGTTTAATTGGGGTGTTGCAGTTTGAATTCGTGAAAACAACTCGATCAACCGAGCAACCTATTTCGTCATGTACGTGTGTATGCGCCCTGGGGGTCCTTTTGTGATAATAAACCAAAGAGGAAGATCCATAGTGTAATTGGCACTTCGCATTTCTGCCCTGGCAATTACCATGCATGAACGCACCACCAATGCATCGCATAACTTTCCCGGATGATATCATTCACACTTCGCGGAACGGACAACATCAAACGCATTGAACTAGGTTAGGAATACTCGGCAATACACGGAAGTTTGACTCTCTGGTTTCGCGCTCGAGCACGGATGATGTTAGAAACTTGTGTTAGAAAATCTTGGAACATGCATCTTTAGAGCGTAAAGGGTATTTCCTCTTCTACCGAGTATACAGGCTGTCTCAGAAACGACGAGGTGTTTCAACAACCGAGTGTCTCCTACAATCGAATCTACGCGAGAATAAAATTGAAATGAGTCGAAAATAAAGAGAGAATCGAGTTTGAAACATCGTCAATTTAGAATTTAGCTAATTCTAGATGCGAGGGGAAAGAACAATTAACAGAAGGTGCATTCTACGTGCAAAAGTAAATAAAGAACGTGGAGCAAAATTTTGTCATTGAGATCTTCGTTTTTGAAAAAAAAAAAACATCGAGTTTGGAAATTTATCGAGCATACTTGAATTTCGGTCAATTCTAGATTTGAAAGCGAGAGGAAAGAACAATTAACAGAACATTATTCTATGTTGGAAAATAAGTAAAGAGCGTAGAAGAAAATTTTTTTGTAAAATGCTTCATTTTCGAGAGAATCGAGTTTGAAAATTTATCGAGTATACGTGTACCAAGACGTGAAAATTTGAAATTGACGGCTTAAACGAAACAATTTTGTCCCACAATTTTCACGTATTTTTCGCGTCGATTGTTCAAGTATAGAGTCGATAGATTCTCAAATTCGATTTTCTCGAAATCGGAGGCTTCGATGGATAAATTTTCCTCTTTCTTTTCGACTCATTTTTTCACGTAGAATTCACAAACTGTCCCGAGACACCCTGTATATTATATTTACTAAAATGAAATTTTATTTTATCAACGATACTATTCAGAACTAGCTAGGCTTGTGTCATGATCTTTGGAGTTTCGCAAAATATGAAGAAGATTTTTATATCAGCAAAGCGTAGAACAGAAACTATCGAAAGTGTTTTGAGACAAACGGCACGACACGACGTTAACATAAATTCCAACGAAACAATTTATTTCGGGCATATAGTCTCTACGAGTCACAGCTGTCTCTTATCGAGGTGAATTACAGTAAGTCATATATTTCTCAAGATAAATTGCCGTACAACTATTAATAAATACCAGAGACTGTTAACCTCTTCAGCTGCAGACATCCGCTGTACAACACACGCGTATTCGCCTTCACACGATAATTAACTTTATCTAAACCGCCGATAAATAAAGTGTTCCACGTTTTTGCTATCTAACAGCAGTACAAATATCTCTTCGCCAATTATCGTGCCGTACACGTCGATCGAAAACCTTGTTTCAGAAAGAGCAGACACTCGAAAGTGACGCTCGATTGTCGATCTTAAGATTAGGAGAATGAATTCACAGATACCTCTACAAGAATATTACCTCCTCGTTCCTCTATTATTACCGTCCATTGACCTTCATCGAGTAATAAATCTGAATTTTACTACCGCGTACTATCGTACCACCCTATTTTACAACATTTTGCAGCATCTGTTAAATTCGCTTCATCTACATGACGCATAACCTCCGTATAGTTCCTCCGTGAACTATTCATCCGTGAAACAGACGCGGTTACGTAATCGTTAGATTACGTCCAAGGACGAGAGATACTGAGGAGATACGTACGAACCTGCGTCTGGCATTTCGTTTCAATTTCCTGCGATTGTCTCCATAAAAGGAGAGCGTCCACAGGAGACGTTAAGAAAGAAATCATTGCACGGGGGAGAGAGAGAGAGAGAAAGACCGTAACACTGAACTACTTAGCCCCCCGCTGCGTATTGCGACACGACCACGCGTGACGTAATGAATTTGCTATCGCGCATCCCTACCCACGTTGGAAACAGCCAGTTGGACAACAATTTTTCGCCGACGAGATGAAACGCGCATAAACGCGAGAGGCATTCGTTTAATACTGGTCGAATGCAACGGAAGATGCACACGGCCAGAGAAATTTATGCGAATTTGCGTGTAGGCAAAACTACCTTCGGCCGACCTCCACCCCTCCAAGGATTTCCTTGAACGAGAAATATTCCCAAGATAGAATATGCCGTCGCAATTCTACGAGAATATGCGAAATTCCTGGCTGCGAGTAGTGTGGGGGAAAGATGAGATTACCGGGATATTATTCATATCTTGAGAAACAATTTCCTTCCCTTTCTTAGAAACGCGACAGTAGAAGTAGCGGAGGAACTAGATGAAATAGCGAGGACGAGCTTGTTAATTGCTAGAGTAAAAAAAAGAGTATTTTTTTTACGAGAGTAGTTTTTCAGCGAGATGTTTGCGAGAACAAATCTGTTTCCAATAAATAGTTTATTTCAATACACACAGGTAGCAATAAATTATTCGATGATAATATGATGAAAAAATGGCGGAATGTTATTAGAAAAATTACAAAATATCCTTTACGGATTTATTTGCAGGTACTGGAACGTTATCGAATGACGGAATGTTACATTCTGTTCAAATACATAGTAAATCTGCAAAGAAAATTTTTAATTCCCGACCTTTAACATTCTATTATTATTCTATAATTGTCGGGAGTTGCTATTATGCATATTTTATTTTTTTGTATATAGTAAATTATTTAAAACAGATTTTGTTAGTATAAAAATAAAAATAATATAAAATTAATTAATATAAAAGTAAAAGTAAAATATAAAAATATAAAAATATTGCAAAAAACTAGATACACTAGATCTACATGAACTGCAAAGGAAAATCTCAATGTATCAATAATTTGATATAATTCTCGGATTTTGATTCTCTCTAATTCTCGGATTTTAATATTCCATTATTATTAGTATAATTAATTATCGGAAATTGCTATTAATCGGAAATTCATATTATTTCTGTATCATTTGTTTTCATAAAAAAAATATTGCAAAAAGACTACGTTCTTTTGATCATTCTGTGATCTCTTACGATTGCTTCGTAAGCTTATTGATGATTTTACAATGTGAATAGCCATTTAATAGCCTTCAATTATCATTTTACAGGCATATCAGCTGTAATAGTGCAACCCCATAATAACAATATTGATCCAACGGCCACGAACAAAGCCAGAGTTGGCCGACAAAATGAAAGCATAAGGCGGTACATGTGCCCTGTAGGGTTCTTCCGATTGAAAAGATATTGCTACTACTTGAGCGGAGGTACGGCACCTTGGAGAGAAGCCTATTTTCACTGCAAAGATAGAAACGCCACTCTGGCGATCCTCGATAGAAACGGGAAAGATCGGATGCTAAGGAAGTACTTGTCGAGCGACCAATTCAGTAAGTGGTTTAATTCTTTCAAAAAATCATTTAAAAAAAAAAAAGAAATGTAAAATACATCCTTTTAAATTTCTCTGTACAACAATCAAGAAAATTACGAATTGCAAGAAACTGTCCAAAATAATTTGACAAAACCGATTAGAATTTCGATATAGAGGTCAATGTAGAGCGATTGAAACGATTATATTATTCCAGCGAAATTAGAAAGATGGATCGGCGGAATATACAATTGGCAGCAAATGGCTTGGGAATGGGGAGTGACCGGCGAGAAGGTGGTTTTCCAAAATTTCGGACTACCTCAGTCCAACAATTCCAAACAACAATATGCGTGGCACTGCATCACGATCGATCCGGCCTTAAGGTACAAATGGAGTCCACGAAGCTGCGTCGAACGAAAGCACTACGTGTGCGAGGTGCCGGCTGGACGTATCGGTAAAATTCCATTTCGTTGCTTAAAAAAAAAAAAAAAAAAAAAAAGAAATCGCAGTCAACAATATCACGGAGCGTCTCGTTTAAATCGTAGCTAGAAGACGTAAGAAAACGACGGACCCTTACGCGCCGCAAAACCAAAGATTAAAACCGCGGAAGAAGGGTAAGAAGTATTTGAAGGAACCGCGGAAATCAAATAGACAGAACAGACAACGAGGTGAATGGAGAAGAAGGTACACGGAACAATATCCGGATAACTGGGCACATGGCGTGAATTTGGGTTCAAGACCACCTAAGTAAGCGATGCTTTTACATTACGTTTACATTTAACATTACAGTGCTCGAGAAATCCGAGCTGAAAAATTCACTCCACCACGTTAGGATTAAGATTTTTACTAATTTGATACCGAAATTCTAATTGCAGCGTCAGGGAACTGTATTCGAGGACTCGAATGCGACACCATCCGAACAGAACTCAACCGAATCATCCGCAAGTGGCGCAGGTCTTGCCTCGAGACCGAGAATACGGTGCATTTCCAGCTGATGGTCCCATTAATGGTCCGCAGAGTCTAACGGCCATAAGCAAAGCTATCTCTCAAATTCCTGACAGAATCAACAACCTGGCGAGCGAAGAAGTTCTTTTGAAGCCATAAACAAAACGTTATTTATTGTTACTCTTTAACTCTTTATTTGGTAGCTTTGATCATCGATCATCATATACTTCTAAAGAAATCACTTTTCATCTATGTTTCACTCTTTCTTACGATACGATTAAAAAATTTTATCAATCGAGGCTCTCATTCGACCAAGTAAAGAGTTATGATCTTCGTTTCGTTCCGACTTCGTGGGCGATGAAGTCGTTTCAGACGCTACCGAAGTCGAGCACAGACTGAAATATAATTTACTCATTTTTAGATCGGCGAAACAGTCTCTCATGTTCCTCTCTTTCTAATCTAGACGTTAGATTTTCGAAGATGTACTTGTCTAGTTAGTAACGTTACCTCGAGTCGGTAAAGAAAATAACTTTCAATGTTCGTATATCGCGTACAAACTTCATTCGACTCTTTTTTTTTTTTTTTTGTTTAATTAACATGCATGAAACGCGTATCGTTCGTTAGCGAATTATATTTTTCAATATTAGTATTCGCTTGTTACTAAGTATTACGTTCGAAGGCATTTATACAAGGAGACATATTACAAAATACAAAAGTACAATTAAATATAAAGTAAAATTATTTAAATATCCGTTCTTAAAAATATCGTTTTAATTAAATTAATATCTCCTTATGTTTCATTATTATTGAGGAGATAATTTTTAAAATATGTCTTGGACGAATGCCTTCGTAATATTTTCCAATTATGAATTTCCTTTTTCTCGCGTTAAGTAAATGTTTAAAACAGTAATGTAGATGATTATAGTGGCAGACAATGTATGACAAATAGTCAAGCTGCTTAAATGTCGATAAATGTATGTTGACTATATCTAAATTTTCGAACTACGTCACTACCAATGAACAATGCACTGATTGCATATTAATGTTGTTCAGAAAATATCATAAAAAATATATATATATAATACTTGATGCTTATTTACATATTACTTAGGACAAGTTGTCAATATATAGATGTAAATTCTACAAGACTCTTATTTTTTATGTTTTAATTTAATGATATTGTATATATAAGTACGATAGAATAAAACTTTTTTACCGCCGGAAAGTTTCAGAATTCATAAGTTTATTATACTTTAATTATAAGCTACATGTCTCGAGAAATATTGCGTGATGTACTTAAACATTTATATTTATGTACATTACACTCTCCCGTTTGCATATTATTTTACATTCGTATAACTTTATAATTATAAATTCTATTCGCCATTAAGTTGTGTAATACTTGAAAATCTACAATTAATTCGTGAAGAATTAACGATTCTTGTTACAAGAATTACACACTGCTTTGTTTGCAAAATACATTGCTACGCAAATTATTGAAATCTGTCTTCTGTATTTAACATGATGTATATTACGTCAATAAAAATTCCATGTCAAACCATTTCCATGAAATTTAATTTTTAATACAAAGAATGATTTCGTAATATTCAATATATTACGTATTTCAAAATAATTATTTTTAAAAGTTAAATCAACATGACATTATCATAGTCCAATGAAGTTAGTTATAAAATAAGTATTCTAAACAAATTACTTACCTTTATGTAGATACAGAGAGCATCACCCTTTGGTTGTCCATTCGAATCCTTGTATAACTTGATCCTGTCCTTTCCTTTCTCATCTCTTGCTATGAGACCACACTTGTTGAAAAACTCTGTGAGTTCGTCCAGAGTAATATCTAATGGTAGACCAGACACATAAACAGCAGTATTGTGAGCTTCATCCACTTCAAACCAAGTTGGTGGCTCTTGTGCTTTTTTCTTGGCTTCCATCTTTCTTTTCTCTTTATCGATCTTTGCTTGCACTTGAGATTGTTGCTCTTGAGGTTTTGTTTCTACTCTATTTGCATCTTCAAATCCGTAACTCATCTGATATCTTGCCATGAAATCTTCATCCACCTGAAAAAATAATCATTTGGAAATAATTTAATGCACTGTGGATTATAAATAACAAGAAATTTATTGAAATATCTTTTGTAAAAAAACACACCTCACCTTTGGAAACCAGGCATTTTTCTCTTTGTCCCAAAAGTACACACTGCCATCATTAGGATCTGTATACGTATGGGTATCGTTTTCAAAACCAAATATCCCTTCTTGTGTCTTAATTTCACTATCACCAGAATCTTTTTCTTTTGTTTCTTCAGTATCTTTTACCAACCATTCGTTCTTGTCTTGATCAAACTTGTATGTAACATTAGTTGTAGGATCTTTATATATATAAGATTTACCATCAAAAGTATAATGTTCCATAGAATCTTTGGTTTTCTCTGTATCTTGACAATCAGTCATTTTATATCAGTAATATTTCATTCGATAAAAAATTCAATAAAATTCAGCGTAAGATTTAACACCTATAACAGAAAATTATAACAGGATATAGATTAGTTTAATAGGAATTAAAATAGTAATACAATCTTAATCATTTGTATAATTTATTCATAATTATCAATTTAATAACATAATAAGCACAAATCAATAATAACAACCTGTTAATAAATAATTCATTTATTTAATAACCATTCAAATTGTATATAAATAATACAATTGACATAATTTTTATTATATCACTATATTATATCTATCATTAACATAAAATTGCATAATTTTAAGTTTACAGAAAATTTTGAAATTAAAACGAATATGAAGATTAATAACATAGAAATGATGTAATAAAGACTAAATAACTACAAGAATATGCAGGTTATATACATATTATTTCGAAGAATAAAATATTTTACATTATGATACACATTTTTTATCTTTACTAGTTGTATGTACTAAATAAATTATATTTACATAAATTAAACGATTAATAATTTTCCTCAACGTATTACAACGTTACTTTGAAATATACATACGTTTTGATATAGGTTAGGTATTTAACGTGTACAAAAATCAATATAAATATCAAACATACCGCTTAAAACGTTGTCAATTTTTCAAATTAATTTTAATATAGGTAACTATTGCTCTTGTTAAAAAATAGAACTTTCTTAAAAAGAAACAATTTATAAATTTGACAGTAACACTAAATATACGTTAATATCTGTTCGCGATACTAATGCACTCTGTATGATATTCTAGAACTTCCTGATACTCTTGTGCCGATAAAACACAGGTGACCACATTTATAGTCAATAATTCAGTATACAATAAAAGTACATGTATTTACAGTGTATATTTATAGATTGAAATTGAAATTAAATTTTAAGATAAAATTACAAATAAAAGAACGGGACAGAATATTAAAATATTATTATGCATTAATATTATTACGCATACTTTAGTATCATCAGGTATCTATGAATATTCCATAATACAATCAATTTGCAAAAATTACAACTCCGAATTCTTATTAGAATTTCTTAGAGTTTCAAATATATTTGGTACTATTAAAATATGGCGCGTTTTTTTTTTTTTTTTTTTTTTTTATAAGTTAAACGAAGCTGCGCATACGCAATGCGCAGAATGTATTCAACACTGACCATGATTTCAGCATCTCTTCCCAAAGATTATTTGTTAGAAATGTTCATATGTATTACCAATTATTCATATAAAAAGAAAGAAGCAAATACACTTGCCTTTATTAAAATAAATAAGATCTTGCCATGTCACAAAAATTTCCTTTTGAATTTCGCGGCGCATTCTGATATTTCGAAGTTTCTCTCGCAATCAATCAATAACCTACACAAAGTTTCAAATACATACATGTATAAAATATATTTCCAATATTTCTATAAAAATAAAACACTGATTAAAGATAAATATCATCTTCAAAATTCATACGAGTTAGCAAGAAATGTGACAATCAAAATCGGTCGAAAAGAAAGAAGATGATTCCATTACTAAACTATGATAATATTTGATAAATCATCGAATAAAACTTACATTATTAATAAGCAATGTTAACAATAGCGTAGATAATAAATGATAAAGATATAATGATGAAAATATTACAATTATCTGTAGCAAACAGTAATACATCTTAACGTTACGATTTTATGCAATAAACTAACTTTCTGCGCAACAGGTTTGCGTCGCCAACTAATTTAATGGAGGGAGGGGGACACTTTAACCAAGTTTAAAAACATGGCGCGCGTATTACAAGATACATTGTTTAAACTCTAATTTTGTATTTATGTATTTAGCATACATTAACATTGTCTTAAGTTTTACTTGCCAAAATTATAAAAATCATAATATTCATAATATTCATTTATTATTATGGTGAACTAGTGGGTCTAATAATGAAAATTTAAAAATAAATTAAATTATTAATTTGTCATCATGGCAAGAACAAATTGTTGACAAAGACCAAATTGTTAACGTTTTCCAACTACTATCACTATTAAAATTGACTTTGAGCGGTATCGAGACAAAACGCTTATTATCAATCAAATCTTCGTCGACCAAACTTATTAACTGAATTTTTAAATAAAATTTCTGAATATTTTAAATGTTTAAACATTATCCAATATCTCTAATAATTTATTCACAACGATTAAACTAAATTGTCGCATTTATGAAATAATAAAATAAAGCGTTCATGACCGAATGTCACGAATGCGCCGCTGCAACCGCGAGTTGAATATTAGATAACATCCGAAAGTGGCGACACGCGAAGGATCGCGAAGACAATGGCGACGCGTACGGCTATTAATTTCCACGTGAAAAACACCACCAGTAGTGAACGATCGCTCCCATTCTTATCGTCGGAACACACATGCCCAGCGCAGTTGCCATTAGAAATTGATTTCCAGTTGCCAGGCAACGTTCAGTTTAAGTTGCCACCATGATAGCTCATGCTTGACCGGTAGTTAGTCGGCTGCAAGTTTCGCCGCGCAACGTTCAAGCATGGGCCTGACAGACCTAGAAAACATACCTGGTAAAACGTTCAACGAAATCGCACGCAACAAATCGCACGACTTTCATGCACCTGCCGTTCAATATCCACGCGATTCACCCTCATCTTTCTCATAGTTAGTTTCATTTTTACCCCCCGAGTGTAAATACTGTTCTTTTTAAACGTCGCTGTATGACGCTACGCCGCGCCGGTTTGCCGGCAGATTCATGAAAATGTATAATAAATGATAAACTCGAGACGAAGGGAAGTGTACGAAACGAGTGTAGCAAAACGTACTAAAACGTTTATAAAATACGTAATAATTTCACTCTTGACAGCATAAAAGTGATTTTCTTTAACGTTAGCTAGTTAATGGTTAAATCATTGTATCGCATAACGTGTGAAAGTAATTACGTAGTTGCAACGTTGTATCGTATGCGCTGCAGTGTAATACAGAAATAAATCATACGTAGCATTAGCAGAGGAAATTAGTCATTAAATATTTGCTTTTAATTACACCAACTCTTTGTTTTAATCAAAAAATTAATCGTAATTTACAAAACGATAATAAGTCGCAAGATGTTTAAACAAAATAAGTAGAGATCACCGTTCGTTCCGTATAACAAAGCAAAGAAATATTTCATATACATGTTTCATGCACCAAAACATAAAACAAAATGAAACCGTTATACATGAATGTAACATAATTATATCCCTTGTCGCTTTTGCGGAAATGAGGGTTGCCATATGTGTACATGTATGATAAAGCAAATTATTCTTCAGCATGATGGAGCTATAAAGTGGCACTTACTTAATCGTGCGGAATTAATTGAAGGAGTTATTGCACTTAAGACTTTAAAGATATCTTTGATTTATATGCTTTGTAAAATGGTACACGCTTTTAATTTATTTTTACGCTTTTGCTTTATTTTTCTCACTACGTTTCACACGGAAATATGCATAATTTCAATATGAACTTTGGTTTCCAATTGTGTCTATTATTTACGAATATAGAACATTTAATAAATCATAAGAACTTTTTAATGAAAGTTAATCTGTCGAATCATAATACGTGACAAACGATTTCATTCGCGTCACTGTGCATTGTATCGAAAAATCGAAATTGGCACGTATTGATTCGATCCTATATTCCGTGTGTGTGTGTGTGTGTGTGTGCGTGTGTGAGTATGTGTGTGAATACATTCCCTAGGAATTTGACGTTCCATTTTCTAAAATTTCAAAATATCAATTAAAATTTTCGAAAATTCCGAAGGCTATGTCGTCCAATGAATTAAATTTTCAAAAAATGATGTTCGTAATCATTTTTCTGCGGTATACGTACACGATATCAAAGGTTCAAAATTTAAGACCAGAAATAAAAAAAAAAGAAAGGAATAAAAAATGTACGAAAGATTCAAAATACAAAGTTAAACTTTTCAAATAAGAATCAACTATTTTAATTTAAAACCACGGCTAGAATCTAAGAAAAGAATCGTTTTTTTTTTCCTCCGTCTTCGCTTTCAACAAATAGAAAATTCTGTGCATAGCTTGCTGTGTCCTGTTCTCCGATTCTGATCTTTAGTTCACATTTCACTGCACTATTCTAATTATAGGAAATTCACTATGCTCTACATAGAGAATCCATTGCTATCAGAGGACCGCGTACATTCTCGTTTCGGATAGCGAAATTCCGACATTGCGGGGCAAACAAAGCGTCGCAATGATAAATGACGTGTTCACGTTGGCGTCGCAATTATTCGCATTGCAAATGCATAAGCAAAAACTTGACAGGCTGGCTGCAAGGCAGTGAATTAAATATCGCAATTGATCCGATTCGCGGACGCATTCGTATATTTTGATCCGTTTTCATGGCTGTTAAACCATGCATCCCCGGGTTAACGACCTGACACAATACCAGTGCCAGCGGCTAGAAAATGAGCGCATCGATGATATCGGCAAAGCGAATTCACCATCTCGCATGTCGCGTTTCGAAATAAGGACACGCTCCACATAGAACAACGTCGGGAGCAGTAACTTTAACCATATTGCATTTTACGATACATTTCATACCTTACGTTTCAAGTCATTCGTAATTCCATGAAAGTACGATGCAAGAAAGTGGAATTAGAACGGATGGGAATGTTCCTGAACGTGGTCAGAAACGCTCGGTGTCGCCAGAATTTTACAAAGTGGCAATGAAAATTTAAATATTGAAATTAAAATTTAAATTTAAATATTTAAATACTCGCAGAACTATTTTCTACTATGCTTTTCTACTATTTCAAAATATTTCATTAGTCATTAGTTCTTCAGCTGTCCCCCAATAAGGAGAAAACAGATCAGATTGTGTACTTCTCAATATATTAGCAACTATTTGTTCGCGTATTATGTACTTAAGTAATCGAGCGTGCGATTTCCATCGATCGATAAAAATGATGTAAATATGTTCATCAGGAGTTTCCATCAGTATTGATCACAGCTCTTCTTTCTCACGATTCATACATTTCATGAGACATGAAATAATCTATAACACGTTCTTCAGAACTTTAAATAAAGTTTCTTTCCTAGAAGCATCGTCATTACTGACCTATACCACCACTTTCAGTGCATCATAGTCCTCTTCAGCCCTCTTGAAATCTCTTCCGTACATGTAAATTTCCACCAGCCACTAGGTCTCTGGGGAACGTTGCTTAATGCTGTAATTGGCAATTAAAGTCAATGTCGTTAAAGAACAACATGCCTCTCGTTTGAAAGATGGATGCGCGATGAATTATGCAAAGGGGCGACGTTTGAACTTTTGATAAGAAGAGCATAAACGTGCAAGCACCGCGGAGGATTTACAGTCGCTGCATCATTGACCTTTACTTAGAAACAAACGAAAATTATTATTCCCGTTAATGTCGCCGTTCAAACGTGTTTAATAGATTTTGTCAACTATTCGCTTTCTTTTCCCCTAATCGTCCGGCAAACAGTGGATTCCCAACTCCCTTGCAGCCGAGGACGATCTTAAAAATTCATTCGCTTCGAGGCTGTATACCGAGGCAGGGTATACGGTTGTAACTCTTAGCGAACGTCGCACTGCTATGAATGGAACGTAAAATTCTTCTTACTTTCCACCCTATCATTTCCATTCCTTTCATACTACATTCCTCGTGGCGCGCTTCGATTCAAACGCGCGCCCGTCGTACGTGACTGCGTTCTACGCGTCGCGGATTTAGAGTGCAGAAATTAAACCTAAAAATTGCATTTCCATCCGCACGTAGTCAAACAGATGAAAGAAGAAGTTTCAAGCATGATTCTCTTCCAACCGAATAAAACAATCGTCTATTTTTATAATATTTCACGTTTCGAGCGTATCGTCTATATCTCTTTGACCTCTCGTGCGCGCAGCACACGTTTGATCTTGCAGATTGCAAGGCTGACCGGACGTCAGATCTCTCTCGCCAGATTCGACTAAAGGATCTCTAGATAAAGTGTGAAGCATTAGAGTGGCCAATTGTAAACGTTGGATCTTTGAATAATCAAGTGGATACGCGGCGTCATGTTTACGACAAACAGTTTCAAGCTGTGAGAGTCGTCGGGCGTTACGCGCGCGTGTGTCCGTAACATTAATAGAAATTTATCTGACCTGTGTGTTCTTGGCCGTGCGATTTTTGCACGGCGTACATACGTTTCGTGTCAGACGTAAAAAAGGAAAGTGGCGATTCGTCCTTTGATATCGCGCTATCGCGTTTAACCTCCTTAAATAAATCATTGGGGATTTAGCGCGTCGGTGCCCTTTTTTCGCTGACGAATATCGCGAGCAGCTAGATGATAGATACGCCAGACGTAAATCTAAGAAAAGATAAAACGAAGGTGCTATCGCAAACAAGAAATGTTGGAAAAGAACGGTTCTCATACTTACAGTCAGAGCAGACTCGCTTTTCATTTTAAGTGCTATGAATTACACGAATTTGCGAATTTTGTTACACGCTCAAAGAATCTCAAGAATCTTCACGTGTTGCCTTCAGGTAAAATTTAATCTTTCAGAGACAGGAGCAGTGTTTACAATCGGACGGAGTAGATTCGCAGACAATGTTGCGTCGCACTTTTTCATACGCAAAGATCCGGTGGTCTCTATCACTTGTGGGGATGAACATTCTGCCGTTATATGCCGTAAGTTCGCTACAAATCTCTAATTAGAAAACGCTTTTAGCTGTCAGTCGATACAAAAATGACACGTGGCTGCGTTCCACGTGTAATCGCAAAAGGGCCACGCTTCGATTGATTTTTCTGAACTTTCTTGACCATCTATGCTACCTATAGCTTAATTTCTTTTCACACGTGGATAGTCAGCGAAAATTTCCAGAGAACACACATTAAGGGGGTCTTCTAGTGTGAAGTGCGTGATTTTTAGCACTTCTTTGGGAATTTTTTGCAAAGAAACTATTACACCTTTTGCAATCAAATTGGCAAGGTTCATTTGTACGTATTTCAACGACGTTTTAAAATTTTTTTGGAACAAAAAAAGTTAAAACCAGCGACATACTCTTGAACATAGTCGTTTTTAAAAAAAATTGCGTCTGACGGTGTCCACGATTCCGGCCATTCTGCTTGTCTGAAATAAAAAAAACAAGATAGTTTCTTAATTAGTATAGATCTGGCTATAGCCAGAACTAGAACTATAGAAAAATGTCTGTAATTAAAAAATTGGCGGTACTTTGAATTTCTATTGTCGATTTTTGCGTATTTCTGTCATACTTCGCAGGCCTAAAAAAATATAAAAAATAAAAATTTTTGGTTGACTCTAGTTCGGGCTGTAGTCACATATGTACCATAATATCATGGACACCGTTCTGAAAAACATAGTTTCCAGAAAAATGCTTTAAAGTTTAATATTGCGATAACAAGACACTGGTTGTCGCGTCCTTCAAACACCCATAACTTCGTTAATTTTAGGAGTTCACATATAAGATTCCAGAGATGCATTTTTCAAACTATATCCTTTAAGAATATGCAAAAGAAAAAAATCGATTTTTTTTTTTTTAAATTTCACACTAGACAACTCCCTTATATCCGAGTCTTACGCGTCATCGATTCAGGCACTTTTGATTTTAAAGGAAATCAATAGATGAGCACGTGAATGACACTGTACACGTTTCAATGATGTCAATGTTGTGCACGTGGTCGTATCTTTTTACATATTTATAACGTAGTATTTTCACTCAAAATGTTTTCCTTTTCTTTCTCACCAATGAAAGAAGAACTCTTCGGGGTGGGAAAATCTTTAAGTCAAGATTTGCAAGTAAATTTTAATGATCCTTGAACTATTCGTATCAACACAGAGGGGAGAAAGAAAAGAGGAAAATAATTAAAACAGCAGCGAATTCTTATTCTGCGAGGACACGTAGCACGTGGTTTATTTTAACATCTTGCATGCCTCTCCACCTTCATCACGCGTTTTACATACTTACGTCACGATACTATCATGATTTATACGCATCAAAAATGTCATATTTACTGCCCAACAAACGACATTCTACACGCTAATGCGTATTGAAATAACATTTCAACTCTGGCGAAAGGGTGCAAACAGTTCTCTTTTCGAACTTATTATTCAGCGTCTCATAATTCAGAGCTCATTTTGTAAATTTCAAATTGCAGATTTGTAAAGATCGAATAAAATCGGTCTAATTACCTTGAACCGAGGGACTTTTAAATTACAGATTTCGAATCGTTGATTTCTGTATAAAATTACCGGGGTGAAAGTTATCACGATTTACAGCTTCTGTAGCATGGTTGGCAAAGAAGTTAGAGTCGTGCCGTGGTTATACACACAGTATACAGGGATAGCCACTGTCCGGTAAATCGATATAGCCACGCAATGCTCTGGCACGTAACATACCTGTACGGAGTCGATATACTGTTATTATCAACAGTTTCAGTTAATCGTGAAATTATCTAAGCACGTGAACACTTCTAAGGTGTTCCAAATATTTTCCACCACTGTGTATGCATGTTTTTCAATGAAACTCTCCCGACATGGCCCTCTCGAATTTTAAATAACAATTCGTCCGGTTTATTATGAATATTTTTATAGTTTTGTCGTTGCTGGAAATAATTTCGTCCTTGATAAAATCGCTGTTTATTATTATAAATAACTGGAAAGATGTTACGAAATGATATCTCTCTGTATTGAAATCGTAATTAATGCACATGAAATTGTTGGACAATTATTTTCTAAGATACGTCGAGATAATTTTCTCACTGGTAAAATCGCTATTTATTGTCGCACGCTGTGAATTATAAATAATTGGAACGAATTTACAAAGTCTCTCACTCACTCGAAATTAACCACTTGCCGCAACTCGATTGCGGACCATAACGAGTGACCAAAACCGTATACAATAATTCGTTGCTTTCTTTTTGAACTCATGTCGGTATAATATCACTGGATAGAAAATTATTGAGAAGTACTAAATTTATTATTTGTTTTGTCTGGGTTTATACTTAAATGTACTTGAAACTGCGAAAAAAATTGCAATTTTGGCACAAAAAGTTCTCGACGTTCATTCCGGCGCAAGAGATCGTAATGTAAGGGTAAAGATGATATAATATACATTGAATTAAAAATTCTACCTTAAAATTTATTAATTGTAATTTAATTAAATTTAAATTTAAAGTGAAATTAAATTAAATATATATTGTAATTTAAAGTAAAATTAAATTAAATTATATTAAATTAAATTAAATGTATATTAAATTTAAAGTAAAATTAAATTAAATTATAATATATTGTAATTTAATTAAATTTAAATTTAAAGTAAAATTTAATTAAAAAGTCTGCCTACTATTTTTAGAGACTGGCAGGCTCTTCGTCTTTGGAAGCAACGATTGGGGTCAGCTTGGTCTCGGTCATAAGAACCATATCAGCAAGCCATCTTGTGTGAAAGGTTTGATCGTTTACGCTCTATTATACTTTCTTTTCGAAGAATAACCGATCTCATCGGAGCTCGAAGCTCCAAAAAATTTGTATCGACTTTCAAAATCAAGATCGTCTTGACTATCTAAAATCTCGACTGAATCTAAAGTCTTTAGAGAGTGATTTTCATTAATACACTCTATTAATTTTCAGCTCTGAAGCCCGAGAAGGTCACACACGTCGCATGCGGACGAGCACATACGCTAATTTGCACAGGTAAGACATCGTTTACATTTATGCCAGTATGCAGATACCGAAAGCCTTATAAATATAGGTGCATTGCACACAGAGCGTGCGATTACGTACATGTATGAACGTTGCATGTTCGAAACTTTTCTGTCGCCCCAGTCATTCAACTTTCAACTTTTAAATTATCTTCTCGACGGTGTTTCCCTTCCTTAAAACGGCCGCTATTAAATGAAAGAATGTGTTACGAATTCTCATTCACACGAGCCTTTATTACAAAGCGCTATGTAGAGTCTATAAAATGTTCAGCTAACCAATTTTCGTGAATTTATCGATAAAATGGAATGTAATCTTTAATCGATCTCTCTTTTCTTTCGTCTTGAATTATTTTCTACCTTCAATTCAAATCTAACAGCAAGAGATCCTTAACTAAATTTTCACGTTGTTTAAAAATAATCCTCATCGATCTTCATGTGTTTTGATGCATTATTGAACCAAACTACTCGCGTAGACGCTATTTATAAGGATAATTATTTATATAACACTTTTAACTTTTTCTAAAATTAACTTTCGCCACCGTTTTGCTGAATCAGAGCAAAATCTTATTCGTATAATATTCATTTATTTAAATTAATGGTCAAAAATGTACGCAAATAGTCATCGTCTTCTGCGATCTTTTATATCGATTGGAAACACGATAATGGAATCGTATAACGCAAAGATCAGATTTGTCGTTAGATAATTACCATTTTTCGGAGAACGAAAATTATTGAGTCGAGTTTTTTCTGGAACATGCGCAGACCGCATTTTTCATTCGTAAGATCTCTATCTGTTTCTCGTACACTCGCAACGACCTGTATCGTAGCACTTTACGTGTCAACTTTATTTTTCATTGCTAATTACTCTAATGCTCTTTCAATTTTAGAATTCTCGACTTCTCGTCAGATTTTTAGCATTGTTATTAATAAATAATTATTAATTTTCAGTATTAGGCACAATTTTATAAGTATTACGCAGAAGTACTTGAAGAAGTATATAAAACAAGTTCTAATTTCTAGTATTAAATACAATTTTGTAAGTGTTACGCAAAAGTACGAAGAAAGATGTTAGGTAGAGAAAATAAATTCTATTCGTGTAAGTAAAGACACGTTTCAGCGTTGGAAGTATTAAAAATATTAAAATATTATAGTAATATAAATATAATATTACGATAAGTATAAATATTATAAATATAATATTATAATAAATATAAATATTATAAATGTAATATTATGATCAATATAAATATTATAAATGTAATATTATGATAAATATAAATATTAAAAATATAATATTGTAATAAATATAAATATTATAAATACAATATTATGATAAATATAAATATTATAAATATAATATTACGATAAATATAAATATCACAAATATAATATTATGATAAATATAAATATTATAAATATAATATTATAATAAATGTAAATATTGTAAACGTAATATTATGATAAATATAAATATCATAAATATAATACTATAATAAATATAAATATAGTATAGTATAATACTATAATAAATATAAATATAAATATAGCATTATAATAAATATAAATATCATAAGTACAACATTATAATAAGTATAAAAAATATTAAATGCAAATGTAGAAATTTACACGTAAATTAATTGACACGTATCACGTTTCAATGTCCAAACAATATTCAGCGTGACGCTTTGTATTCATAGAAATCCGTTAAAAGAGAAAATAATCAATATCTGTGAAATCCCATTAAACACTTCTACTTCTAAATACTTGAAGTATTTAAAGGACGAACTGGTAATTCTTCAGGATCGCAGAAGATCTTCGCCTGTGGCAGCGACCAGGAAGGGCAACTCGGTCGAGGAGTGTCCGCAATAGGTGATTCCACGAGCACTCCTGTCCTGGTGTACGATTCGGGTCTAGCTGGATCAAAGATCGTGCAAATCACCGCTGGCTCGCATCATTCGCTCGCACTTACCAGCGACGGCGGGGTTTTCGCATGGGGTAGCAATCTCGAAGGCCAACTAGGACTACCGGATGTATCCGGCTTGGTGAACAAACCGACCAAAGTGCACATCCCCGAACCTGTCAAACAAATTAGCGCCGGATATTATCATTCCACGTTTCTAACAGGTTCTCTCAATTGACAAGATCGAATGAAAGTGTCTAGCGTTGCGTGAAATATACTATAGCGGAGATCACGATGAAAAATGGTCGATAATTTGAAAAAAAAAAAAAATATATCACTATGTAATGATCCGTTTGGTGAAGCTTCTATTTTGATAGCTGTGAGTTTGTTGATTTGTGACTTATTGATTTTGAATCGTGTGATAAATAGAGACATGAGGATATTGTAAAAATTCAAATGTGCGTGAGAAATATGAAAATTTTTCTCGTAACTTGCTCGCTATTTCGAAGATTAAAATCCTCCCTTCGCAAATGTTCTTGTTATTTTTTTTCACTATTTTATTATACCTAACGTTTCATCTAACTCTAATCTTCCAAGTTCAATAAAACGGTGAGATGAAATCATACAGCGAATTTGAAGTACCGGTTGCAAACACCATGGTGAATCTAGTCGTGAAAATAATTCTTTGGACGTTTGAATTTTTACAATCTTCAAGGGGAAAAAATATCGTAAGTCAATAATGGCTGCCAAAGTAGAAGCTTCGCACTTTTTGAGACGAGACCAAATGGATCATTGTGCGATCTCCTTTCTAAATAATAAAAATAACTCTAGAATTACATGGAAAAGCATCGGCGACTTTTCCTCGAATTTTCAAATTGCTTTTCAGAAAGCGGTCTGGTTTACGTGTGCGGCGAGTCAGAAAGTGGGAAACTGGGGATCGATGTCAGCTTTTCTACACAGGTCGCGCCTAAACAGATGCAATTACCAAGCCCTGCCTTGCACGTCGCGTGTGGCGGTCATCATACCGTCATTCTGGCTGGTACAACAAACTTTTAATCCGCGACAATTGCCCTACACCGACTGAATTACGCTTAGAAATTTTAAGAGGACCGGACAGTGTGACCGGCCTAAAAATTACGTATACCTTGGATGGCCAGTGAAAAAAGAAATTGGCATGAGCTTTTGTGGTTTATTTTAACACATTATGAACTACAAGAAGCAACATTAAAAAAGGAAAAAGGAGGGCTCTTAATTGACTTTTTAACGGCATCCTTTTACATAATTTTTTTTATCGGTGTCCAGCCAAACAGGATTAGCTGCAACAAAGAAGCAGAAAAAGTTCAAAAGTAAACGATATTCTCTAGGGATTGACGATCCAACATTTTCATTTCTGTGAAAATTATGAAACTAGCAGC